CGCGGGGCTGAGCGGCGGGCGCGGGGAGGCAGCGGGCGGCGGGCGGGGAGGGCGCGCGAGGCGGCCGGAGGGCGGGGTGGGGGCGGGGGTGCCAGCCTCGCCCTCTCGGTGGCCCGCGCGTCCCCGCGGTCTGGGCGTGCGGATCCGAGGGCAGCTGGGCGGACCTCCCTCCCCGGCCGCCCCTCTCCCGAGGGGAATGGGGTGCGGGTGGGGGGCTGGCCTCCCCGGCTCTCAGGGGAAGGGGGCTTGCGGATTGGGGATGGGGGAGCCAGGGGAGGCCTGACAACTTATTTCCCAGGATGATGGGTCCCAAAGGAAAAAATAATAATAATAAAATAAAATAAAAAGGAAAAGAAAGAAAAGCTAGCTGTCCCCCGCCCCCAAGCTAACCTTGTCTCCCCCTCCGTGGCAAGGACCCCGGGGGCCCCCTGAGCAGCGCCCCCTTCCCTCGAACCCTAGTCCGTTCCGCGGGGAGCGGGGAGGCAGTGAGTGGGTGGACAGCTCCGTCTGCCAGCGGAGCCCGCCTCTGGCCGGGCGCACGGGGCAGACCCAGCCCGGCAGCTCTTCTCCATGGGGCAGAAGGGACCAGGCTCTCTGCCTGCGGGGGGCCCAGATCTGAGAGACTCCCAGGGATTCTGTCTCAAGACCCGAGTTCTTGCTGGGCCCTCAATCGCCAGCAGGGGGCGCGCACTCCCAGGCCCCACCTACCCAGCTTGGGTTGATTAGTGAAGGGCTCTGAAGTGGCTGGATGGAGGGTGGGTGGAAGACTTTGGAAGGTGTTGGAATCAAAGACTCCTGAACCACCATCCTGGAGTTTCACGGTGAGCCTAGACGTGGGCACAGATGGGTGGAAGCAGCAGGAAAAAATACTGGCGTGGCCTGGAGGGCATCTGCCTGGGACGGGGTACAGAATGGAGGGACCTGGACAGACTCTGCCATCCTGGGAGGAGCTAACCAAGCTCTGTGTGGCAGGAAAGGGGAAATAATAGCAACACAAAGTTTTAGGCTTAGGGAGGTATGTGTTCACTTGCCCTACTCCAGGCTTGGTAGATTGTTTCCAGAGATGAGGCCAAAGTCTCCCATCCTGCCTGCCCTTTGGCAATGTGACTTGGACATTTCTCCCATCCGGAGGGGGGTGCTGAATCTGAGTTGACCCGGGGTCTTGCTCTGACTGATGCTGTAGATGTGATGTTGTACAGTTCCCAAGCTTAAGTCTTCAGAGGCTTTGCAGATTCCATGTTTGCCCTCTCAGGAGCCAATACGAGAGAAGTCTGGACTGTCCTGCGGGAAAGTCCGCGTGGCAAGGCAGAGCGGCCCTGGAGGAGAAGCAGCCAGGAGAACAGTAGTTTCCCTGAGACTGTCAGCATCAATTGCCAGAAATATGAGTGGGCCATCTGAGCTGTTTCAGCTCCAGCTCAGCTCCAGTGGGATGCTGCTGGATGAGTGGCCCCAGCCATGAAGCAGGAAAACCTCCCAGTTGAGCCCACAGAGTCATAAAAAATAAATAAATAAATTGTTGTTTTGAGCACTAAGTTTTGGGGGGCTTGTTACACAACAATAAATAATGAGCCGAAGCCGGTTTGGCTCAGTGGTAGAGCGTCGGTCTGCGGACTGAAAGGTCCCAGGTTCGATTCCGGTCAAGAGCATGTACATTGGTTGCGGGCACATCCTCGGTAGGGGGAGTGCAAGAGGCAACTGGTCGATGTTTCTCTCTCATCGACGTTTCTAGCTCTCTATCTCTCTCCCTTCCTCTCTGTAAAAAATCAATAAAATATATTTAAACAACAACAACAAAAAACCAAAAACAATAAATAATGAAACTCTAGGAAGGGGTCAATTATTCTCAGGTGCCTCATGGAGGAGGAAGACGAGGAGGAGAAGGAGGAGGAGGAGGAGGAGGAAGAGGAGGAATAAATCACTTAGGAGATCATACAGGTGGTTACTTGGGTGGGAGTGAGCACTTGACCCAAAGGTGAGCCATCCCCATGCTGTCCAGTGAACTTTGACCTGTGTGGTCTGGGTTGAAAAATTGATCTGGGCCAGATTCCTCTTTTTCAAGAATTTGGAATTGGGAAACAGGGGCTGGAAAGTCAAGCATGGAAGCCAAGGATGCTGGGAAATGCAGTTGGCTTCCAAGAGACCTGCATGAGCCTCAGTGAGCCGTGAGCAGTGTGAGCGGTCAGCAGATAAGATGGGAGAAGGTGTGCAGAAGGGAGGAGAGAGCCTACAAAGGAGGAGCCATGCTGCCCAAGAGGGAGCCACCTCGGTCCTGGCAGTTTCTCAAGTCCCAGGTGAGGCTCTGGCTAAAGTGCCCATCTCTAAATGTCCATATTCTGCCCCTCACTTCAACAAATGCCTCCCTAAAAAGGTGGCTATTGAGCTGAAACCGGTTTGGCTCAGTGGTAGAGCGTCGGTCTGCGGACTGAAGGGTCCCGGGTTCGGTTTCGGTCAGGGGCATGTACACTGGTTGCGGGCAGCTCTCTCCCTTCCTCTCTGTAAAAAATCAATAAAAACATATTAAAAAAAAAAAAGTGGCTATTGATTTGTGTTTTTTTGTGTTTTTTAAAAATATATATTTTTTTATTGATTTTTTTTACAGAAAGGAAGGGAGAGGGATAGAGAGCTAGAAACATGAATGAGAGAGAAATATCAATCAGTTGCCTCTTGCACAACCCCCACTGGGGATGTTCACCCAACCAATGTGCGTGTCCTTGACCGGAATCGAACCTGGGACCCTTCAGTCTGCAGGCCGACACTTTATCTACTGAGCCAAACCAGTTTCAGCTGATGTGTGTGTGTGTGTGTGTGTGTGTGTGTGTGTGTTTAATGTTTTTATTGATTTTTAGAGAGAGAGGAAGGGAGAAGGATGGAGAGAGAGACATTCTGCTGCCTCCTGCACATCCCCTACATGTGCTCTGACCAGGAATCGAACAGGTGACCTCTTGGTTCCTGGGTGGATGCTCAACTGCTGAGCCACACCAGAGGGAGGTTGATACTGAGGGCAGGGAGAGACTTCTGAGGAGCTGACATGGTCAGATGTGTGGTTTCGGGAGATCACTCTGGTTTCTTTGGGGCAGGCAGATGGTGCGGAGAGCAAGCCTGAGAGCAGGAGGTGGACTCACCTGGGCTAGCGATGATGAGGGTTTAGGGGACGTTTTACGGAGATGGTAATCCAGGGCCTGTGCACTCCCAGACAGGAAGGAGGCAGGACTCCCATCCCCCCGTGTGGCGTCAGCCAGGAACAGCGGCCCCAGCTCTCAGACTTCTGAGTCACCTCCTTAGGTTCACGGTTGCCCTGAGGCCAGGTCAGCCTCCTTCCTCCGTCCTAATTGCTTCCTGCCAAGGCAGCTGGCCCACTGCGAGCGTCCTTGAGAAAGCCCTTGTGAAAGCAATTGAGCATTTCAGAAGGAAGCAGGCACCCGCGGCTGCCACTATCCCCAACCCCAGGCAGGGAACAGCGTCTCCCTGACTATTGAGGGGTCTTCTGAGAGGAACCCTTCACCAACAACTCCCACCCCCAATCCTTACCACATCCGGGTCAGCGTAGGGGGTCTCAGGGCTTTGGGCGGGGCTCCTGTGGATGCTATAACAAACAAGTTATGCCGAAACAGGTTTGGCTCAGTGGATAGAGCCTCGGTCTGCGGACTGAAAGGTCCCAGGTTCGATTCCGGTCAAGAGCATGTACATTGGTTGTGGGCACATCCCCAGTAGGGGGTGTGCAGGAGGCAGCTGGTCGATGTTTCTCTCTCATCGACGTTTCTAGCTATCTCTCTCCCTTCCTCTCTGTAAAAAATCAATAAAATATATTTTTTAAAAAAAAAGTTTCGCTCTACTCAATGCTCTGACCACACTCCACATGTCAACTGCATATGGCAGGACAAGGCTGTGTCTGTTCAGAAGAAGGGGTGTATTTTCCCAATTAGCCCGAAGGTGCCCCCCTGGTCTGGCTGCATCCTCATAGGGATGCTTCCACTCAGAGGGGATCCCTCCTCCTCCTGAGTCCACAGGCACCACATGGACCATTGTGATCCTGGCTCATAGCCTCTCCCCCCACTGCCCGCTCTCTGCTCATTCGTGCTTTAATGATGCCTTCCACTGGGCAGAGGGAGAAGCTGAGCCCCACTACCTGCTGCCACTAGCTTCCTTCTGGGGGGAACTGCTCTGCCTGAAGACCCCACAGATCAGCACTGGTTTGGCCATAGGTGACTGGACCAAGGGGTCCCACCAAAAGCTAGGCTGAACCGATCAGATTCTTTTGCTTGAGACACAGAGGGGCATTGTCATCGCTGGTGAGTGTTGATAGAGAGATGCAGCCACCTTGTGTAGGGAAACCCAGGAAGTCTGGAAGAGAAACCAAGAAAAAGATGCAGCCTTAACTGATTTGGCTCAGTGGATAGAGCATTGGCCTTTGGACACAAGGGTCCCAGGTTCGATTCCGGTCAAGGGCATGTACCTTGGTTGCGGGCATATCCCCAGTGGGGGGTATGTAGGAGGCAGCTGGTTGATGGTTCCCTCTCATAGTTGTTTCTAACCCTCTATCCCTCTCCCTTCCTCTCTGTAAAAAATCAATAAAAAGAAAAAGATGCAAATATTGCCAAGGGGATAAGAACCTGTGAGGCCACTCTGGGGAAGGAGGGTATGTATGGGAGGGGGGGGGCAATGTTAAAATATGTACACAGATAATAATTTAATAAAAAATTAAATTAAATAAAAAAAAAAAAAGAACCTGTGAGGCCCAGAGAAAAGAGAGAGAGGCCCATTCTTAGTTCTAGTTCACGAAGTCCCGGTCATTCTTGATTTTCCATCTTTATGGTCCCTTGTAACCTGCTCACTCCTTTCTTTGAGCCATGAAGTGGGTCTCTGTTTCATGTTACCAGCACCTTCGCTGGAATAAGGACCTCAGCCTGAGGAGTTGCTGAGGTGCTCCCACGGTGTGCGCTCCCCGTTCCCCCCACCCCAGCGCTATCCTGGCTTAGAGACGAGCAGGAAGGAGCCCTCGGCACAGTCACACCTTTTATTCACGGTCAGTGAGAATACACACGCACCACAGCACAGGGTTTGCACAGGGAGGACAGTCACTGTGGGCACAGCCAGGAGCAGCACATCCATAGGGGGCCGGGCCAGAGCGGTGAAGGAGTTGGGAGCACCCCTGTGCCACCCCCCGCTCCTGCCCCAGGCCTCCACACTCCCAGAGCCTCCGCTCTGGAAGGGCCAGACACCCTGGGAGGCCCGGTCCTGCCCCCACACTGTGGCACAGGGACAAGAAAACCCTGAAAATCTCAGAGAGAAAAAGCCCATATTTTTCTGAGACTTCTCAATTGCAGGATTTGAATTTTTTCAACACTGATGAATAAAATATGTAGAAAATAAATTCTTGCCCCCACAGCGATCTCTAAAGTCAGCATGAAGCCTCACCAGGGTGGGTCTTCAGGAAATGTTTGCTGCTTTAGTAAATTTCTGCATAAAAATGTACAGTGTCAGCTTACTACCTTGCCTAGAAACCCCAGGTATTCTCTCCTCCTCCCCGCCCCCGCCCCTCTCTCTCTAGCAAAATGCATTTCTACCCCTAGGGACTCTGCCATTGTCAGAAAAAGATAAAGTGCCTTTGCTTATGGGCTTCCTTTTCCTTAACTTTTGATTTAAGGCAGGTTATGTAATCCTGACTGGAGTGGCCATCTGAAGTAGCCCTTGGTGATGATTTTTATAGAGATAAGAAGGAGCTCATCAGTTGGACCGAAGATTGAATGAGGACAGAATACAGTTAGAAGATAGATTTGGAATCGTGCAGTTCAGAGTTGCTGCAAGAAGATACAGAACTTCAAAGGAGAATCCGGATATATCAACGCTGTGACTGTCTGTGTATTTTTGAGTCTCTGTGAGTCATACTTCAATCTCTGCTAACCCTGTGCTCTGGGACAAGTCCCGCTCGGCTGGGGCAGAGATGGCAGGACTGTCTGTCCTCTCACACAGGGCCATGGCTCTACCACGGGAGCTCCCAAGCAGCGTCAGGAGCATGTGGGAGCAAGGCCTGGCCTGTCTGTGGCTCCTCCCATTAGCAAGATGGTGATCCGGGTCCCTGGCCTGGCATTATGTATTCAACGCGGCTGGGTCTTTGGCCTCACCAGCAAATATCAGCCAGGGATATGTGTCCAAAAGTGTGGCATGATCAAACTTGCCCTCACAGGTAGGACTTGCTGGGGAAAAACCAAAGCAAGGAAGGAAGTTGATGCTAGAGACAGTGCAAGATGCTTCCAGGGTTCCGAATCAGAGCCTCCGAGGACAGCATTGATTTGCTAGCAGAGCTGCCCAGAACAGAAAGCAAGAAGCTCGAAAATGTGGGGACTTCAACCAAGCTCCTGTTTCTTTTTGGAAGACCACCGCGTCAGGATCCTCTTAGCAGGAAGCTTGTAAAAGACCGGACTAACTTAGCTTGCCCCACAGTCAACCTCTGTACAACTCAGAGCCAGATAAATGCGCAGGGGACAGACTCTGGAGGGAAGAACCTGCTTCGAGTCTTGGGTTCAAGTCTTGGCGCTGTGCCACCTCCTGACTCTGCCTGTTTGCACAAGAGACTCCCTCTCTCTGAGCCTCGGTCTCCAAGTCCGGAGAAAGGAAATGGAAAATGAAATCCCCATTTTCCTAGGCTGTGAGCATAGAATGAGATGGGGCAGATGGCAAGCCTTGGAAAGCCATGAAGTTCTGTGTGATGGGGAGTTGCGTTGGATTCAACATTTGTGGGATGGGAACCCCACTTTGTAAAAAGCCTTCCATTGGAAGTGTCAGCTGAGCCAGGCTATTGAGTATCCGGGGTGCTGACTGACAGCGCAAGATACATCGAATGGCCAGCTCCTGAGAGCAATGGAACATCCTTTGAGGCATTACTGGATAAAAGCCTACTGGTTACTGCCCGGGGATGTGAATCCCCTAGCCTTGATAACAGGCAGGTCATAGGCAGGACAGAAAGAGGTGGCAACCCAGTGGCCTTGCTCCCTCCAAGGGCAGCCGGTAGGAAGGTCCCGTAGAGTTCTGGACCAAAGATCCACATCCCCAGAGCTTCCTCCTGCAGAGAGAGAGGACCGGTGAACCCTCCGAAGTAACAGACAAGCTTCCCTGCTTCTCTGAAGGTACAATCTGCACCCCCAACTCAGCAGCCATTCCGTCCCCACCCTGGGCTGATAGCACCCGTGTACGAGACTGTTCTCACCAGCAGCTCAAGAGGAAATCAACTGTCACTGCATAGGAAAGCCAATTTCTGATCACAAGTATGGGAGAAAGTAAGTGAAAGACCTAAAGAAGCGAGATGAATTCTCCAGCTGTCAAAGCATGCAGCGGTATAGCTCACGGATCCAAACCCGGAGAGCCGACATTGGAAAGCAAAGCCAGTGCCCTTGGGAGATGATGAGTTGTCTGCCTGATTTGGGATTTGGGGTTAGAACAAGCTTTTCCAGGGGAGCATGCCCAGCAAGCACATTTTAGGCATTTGGTCCATAAATTCAGCCTGACGCCTAAACAGAGGCCAGGGGGGCCTCCTCCTCTAGCTCCTGCCACGTCTGTAGCAGTGAAAGAACACGCCATCCTTGAAACCAGACCGAATCCAGAAAGAAACTACCAAGACGTGGGAAATACACAGTCTCACTCTCAGTGAACCTTGATTTTCTGTTTCTGAAGGCAGCACCTGACCAGAGTAAGTATACAACAGAATTGCTCACTGAATTGAAAAAGATCGGTAAAACGGAAGCAGAAGAAGCTGTTGACGGCAACAGCTCAAGATTTAGCTTGATAAGAAAAAGTGTTTTCTGGTGAGTGTGGTGGTATTTCCCTCTTCTTTTTTCCCTCTCTCAGCTCTTTTTCCCCATGAAAATGAGCATTTCTGTATTCATTTGATTGTTTTATAAGAAATCAAGTAATATAAAGTATGTTTTAATACCCTACACTAATAAAATCACATTAGCTCCTTTGAAGGGTACTAAAAATATAGGTAGGTATTGCATAAATTTCAACTTCCCTTAAAACTTCCACGTACATGGTTCCCAGACTCCCAAACACTTCATTTATCCTTCTGCGGCTCTGTACAGAACGGAGTGGAAAGGTTTAACAGTTCCTCTCTGACTAGCCTGCCTCACCCGCTCCGTGCTCAGCTGTGTTCCACGTCTCTGACCACCGGAAGTCTGCCTCCCTGTGAACTTCCGGAGGGCACAGGATGTGCCTTGTAGACTGCCATATCCTTAGCACCCGGAGGTGCCTGACATTGAACAGGTGCTCAGTAACTGTTAGCTGAAGAAAGGGCTGGATGAACGCTCCAAAGACAGGAGCCAAAAGGGCCGGGGAGAGGGGGAGGGAACAGGGCAGAGACCGCCTTTAAGGGATCTGGGTCTTTAATAAAGAACTGACCCAATTTGGCCCTTTCACTGGGTGTAAGTGGAATCACATCTTATAAAATATAATCCCAGGAAGAACGGACTTTCAAAGCAGAACCCCAGCCTCCCTCCTTAACCCTGCCAGTAGGGGCAAAGGCCAACTCCCCTTTGCCCAGTGGGATGTTGGTTCTGGGCCGAGACCACAGGCTACCTGAGGATCTCTCTTTTTCCCCCAAAGATCTTGACTGAGGGGAGCAAGGGCCTGGGCAGAGGGGTGGGTGGGCCAGAGAGTGAGGCTAGAGTACCTCTCCCGCTAGGGAAGGGCCAGCCAGCGAGAGATCACGGGGTTGGGAGGTGGCCATGCTCCTCCTGGCCAGGGCCCTGCCCCTCACCAGCCTTGGCTCCCTACTTCTGCATGTCACACTGCAGCAGCAGCACAATGGAGGGGTCACTCTTGGCTGCCTCCTTGAACTCCTCCAGGGTAATCTGGTCATCCTTGTCCTGGTCCATCTTCTTGAAGATCTTGTCCACACGCTGCTGGGGCGTGAGCCCGTCCTGGTTCATGCGCATCATGATCACGGTGCCCACCATCTTGTAGATAGCCTGGTGAGGAGCAGGGGCGGGAGGACCGGGGGTGAGTGGAGGGGGGTTGGGAGTGGGCAGGGAGAACCCTGGGAAATGGTGAGGATGCTGGAAGGTGATGTGATGTAGGATGGTTAAAACTGGCTATTGAGTGAGCATCTCACACCTAACATGTCTAAAACCCAACTCTTCCCTGTCAACCTGCTCCTCCCCAGGCATTCATTTCCTGTCTCAGGAAATAGCAAATTCATTCTTCTAGTTGTTCAAAAACCTTGGCACTGTACTCGACTCTCCTTCTCTCATTCCCACATCCAATCCTTCGGTGAATCTCGTCAGCCCTAATTTGGCAGTATTAATGAATCCCATGTCCAACCACTTCCACTGACTGCTCCTCCGTGGCTGTCACTCCCATCCCGTCCTGGCTGGGCTCCTGCAGAGGTCTCCTAGCTAGTCTCCTCGCTTCCCATGGAAGCAGGAACTCTGAGCAGAGCTGGCACATGACAGGCATTCAGCACACATTTGTTGAAAGAACAACGAGCTAAGAGAACTTGGGTTCCGGAGTCAGACTCCCTGGATTTGAATCATGAACCACCACTTGCTCATCTGTAAAACGGGGTTTCTGACAGTACCTACCCTCTAGGGTTGTTGGGTAAAGGACTTAGCACAAGGCCTATCCAACCCATGCCAGGGGGCCTGGGAAGCGGGGTGGGGAGAGAGGTGGGCGCAGAGAGAAGCTGGCTAGAGAGGGCGGTGCCAGAGACGGGCCTGGCACCTAAGACAGGGGGCGCCACCCCGCACACCCCCGCCTCTCGGGTCGCCCCAGCGCACCTCGATGATCTCCAGCATCTCCAAGCGCGTGATGCGCCCGTCGCCGTCCAGGTCATACATCTCGAAGGCCCAGTTGAGTTTCTGCTCGAAGCTGCCGCGGGAAGTGACCGAGAGGGCGCAGATGAACTCCCGAAAGTCGATGGTGCCGTCGCCGTTCTTGTCGAAGGTGCGGAAAGCGTGCTGCGCAAACTTGGAGGCGTCGCCGTAGGGGAAGAACTGAGGGGGGAGCGCAGGGAGGGAGTTGGGGCGTTGCGACTGCCTGGCCTCTATCGGTCCGTCCGCCCCGGGGTCTCTGGCCCCGCCCCCAGTATCTGGCCCCGCCCCGGGTGGCTGGCCCCGCCCCGACACCCCGGGCCCGCCCACCTTGATGTAGAGCTGCTGGAACTCCTCGAGGTTGAGGATGCCGCTGGGGCAGTCCTTCAGGAAGCCTTTGTACCACTGCTTCAGCTCCTGCTCGCTGAACTCGGTGTTCTGGACCAAGTCCTCCAGCACCTCCGGGGCCAGCTTGCTGTTGGTCTTCCCCATGGCGGGGCCTGGGGGACAGGCGCAAGCGGCGGTCCTCCAAGTCCCCGTAAAACAGGGTTCCCCGTCTCTACAACAGCTCCCTCCCATAACAAACCCACATTTCCACTGCCAGATCCCTCCTTCCACAGCTGGTGGGTGTCCCTCCTCTCACCACCACCACCACCAAGCCCCATCTTTCTACCCCTGGGCTCCACCCTTCCCACAGGAGCTCCTACCGCCCCTCCCCGCCCCTCCCCAACCCTCCCCCAAAAAACTGGGTGCAGGTTTCCAGGATTTCTAGCCTTTCAGGTCTCCGCTCCCCTCTTTTCACTGACAGGTGCTGCATGCCACAACCTTCATCCTCTCTTCTCCTGTTTACACCTCTCATAGCTCCCACACCCATAGAATCTAGTCTCAATCCTCTCCTTGCCATTCAGAGCTTTCACACTCAGCCCTACCTGCTTCTGCTGGCTCCTCTCCTACCAGGGACGGGAGGCCGGCTCCTCCTGTGTCCCCCTGTACCACCTCCCAACTTCCTCAAGGCCTTCCAGGCTGTCCCAGCAGCAAGTGTCTCTCCCTCTTTCTTCTGTACAAATAGAAGTCCTAGCTAGTAGCACTGAAGACCCTGATTAGATTCTGCTTTTCCTCATTCATTCCCTGGGCATTTATTGAGGCTGATTGTGTGCCAGGCCCTGTGCTAGTCATGGGGATGAAGCAGACACAAGCCAACTTTCCATTCATAATTAGGTCAAAGAGGTAGGTAGCAGCTGATTATAAAGGGCCTCCATCCATGTCAAGAAGTTCAGCCTTTATCTGGAGGGGTTTTAAAGCAAGAGCTAGGAACATAGCATTCCTTCCACCACCTTTACAGAATGCCTGCAGTATGGCAAGTCCTGAACTGGGAACCCAGGTGGAAGGGATGTGTTTCAGAATTTTTCCTTTGGTTGTGGTGTGCCAGATGACCTGGGTCAGGGAAGGTATGGAGAGCAGAGAGGGGCCTGCCGCATAGCTCAGATGAGAGAGGATGACACCAGAGTAAAGAATGTGAAGAGATGGGGAAGGACTGAGAACGGTCCGGAGCGGGCACTGGCAGGACTTGGGAGCTGAATGGATGTGAGGGGGACGGAGGAGTGTAGGCAGATGCTCCGATTTGGGCTTGAGTGGACGGAGATGATGTTGCTGAGAAGCAAGTCTGGGGCAGATGAAAGTCAGTCCTCAGCTGGACCGTGAGCCCCTTGGGGAGCCTGTGCCAGGAGGAGTGTTTGCAGAGCAGAGAGCAACCCTCTCCGGAAGCGTGGTCACAGCGATGCCCCACGGGGCCCTGGAGGAACACTCCTGTGGGAACTCCATGGGAGGAATGTCCCTCCGGAGCCTGGGAGGTGCCTTGGGCCTGCGTGGAGTCTGGAAGGGCACCAGAATCCAGTGGCGGGGTAGCCTGCCATGAAGATACTCTAGGAAAGGAAGCCCTCCGGCCAGAGAGAGGAATGCCCCTTTCACAGCCCACCCCAGGCCAGTGTGGCTTCTAAGCTTTCCTGCCGAGAGCACCACCAACAACAGAGGTTGGTCTGTTCATGTGCCCTCCTTGGCTGCCTGACCTCCGGTTAGTTACAAGATATCTCTGGGCCTCAGATTCCTCCCCTGGGGCAGGAGGAAGATCAAGGAGCAGTCGGGGTGGCTACATCCTCCCCTACCTACCACCCTCAGAGGCTGAGACATCCTGTATTCCCTCAGGAGGAGCCATGGAGGGGACGCAGGCCACCTGCAGAAACCTGGAATTGTGAGGTTCAAAATGGTTGCACTGGGGCAAGAGTTAAGGACACTTCTGGGGCACCATGGGCAGAAGGAGGCAGGCTCCTAACCCAGCTGCCCCCTCCTCAAGTCCAAAGTACACTGAAGACTCAGGGTAGAGTCAAGGAAGCTAGAGAACCCAGAGGTGGACGTGTCTGATGGGGGAGGCAGACATTCCGCTGTCTCCTGTGGAATGTGTCTGAGTGTCTGCATCAGGTGCAGGGTGTGGGTGGGAACATGCCAAGGTATGAGATTGCCAAGTCTGTCAGAGAGCACTGTCTGTGTGTGTGTCATAGTGTCTGTGTGCCTCTCACCGTCTGCCCCCTTTTCTCCTCCCTCCCACAACTCTGTGTCTCCCGGGCCAGACCTGTTCTTGGCCCCCATTTGGTCCCAGGCCCACCAAGGACTATGTCTTCAGCTCCTTTCTCCTTATCCCCTCTATTGCATTTAGATTGGTAGGACAAAACTGGCAGTGCCCTTTAAAATCGATCCCCTTATGTTAGTGAAAACCCAGAGAGAGGAGAAAACGAGCTTGAGTTACACAGCAGGTCAGGGGAAGAGCTCAGATGAGCACCTAAGCTGAACCCATGCTACTGCCTGAACCACTCCCTCCAAATCATGGCTACTCTTACCCAAGAGAAGCCTTCTCCACTCCTACCTGCCTTTTTGGGAAAACCATAGCTCTGACCTCCCTCTTAGCCTCAGTGGGACCATCTTACTGAGCTCCAGGTCACAGTATCTGATACCCTTTGGAGTGGCCCACCAGCACCTCTAACAGTACATCTACAGCCAGACTCATCTTCAACCTATACTGTCCTCTCTCCATCACTCCTTCCTTCCCTTGTCCCAGGGGGGGAATGCCATCTCAGTTACCTTTAGTTTTCCCTCTCCTTTTGCCCTAGGTGCAACTTGCCACTAAGTCTTATTGTTGCTGCTGCTTCTTCTTCTTCTTCTTCTTCTTTTAAAAATGTTTTTATTGATTTCAGACAGGAAGGGAGAGGGAGAAAGAGATAGAAATATCAATGATGAGAGAGAATCACTGATTGGCTGCCTCCTACACAGCCCCCACTGGGGATTGAGACTGCAACCTGGGCATGTGCCCTGACTGGGAATTGAACCAGAGCCTCCTGGTTCATAGGTTGACACTCAACCACTGAGCCACACTGGTTGGGCTATTGTTCCTTCTTTGGAAGTGCTCCTGGAAACTTCATTATGTCCTTTCTCTACCCTCAGTCATGGCCAGGGGCACAGCCAAGGGGGCTGAGAGCCAGCTGGGCACTGCTTGGCAAGCCATACCTATGGGCTCAGCTGCCTCAGAAGTGCCTTTCTTCTGATTCCTCTCCTCCGAGAGAATGTCTTCTCTGGTTTCACCCAGAACTTCAATACAGGCTGGGGGTCATGCCCACGTGTCCTCTAGAATCTGGTGCCAAGGTGCCCACCTGTCTAGCCTCACCTCCAATTCCTTTCCTCACAACTATATACTCCTTTCAAACCAAGCTTCTTACACCTTAGAACCTATTCCACCCATGGCTTAGCTGTTTTCCTCCCCCCTAATATCTTTCTCTCCTGGACTCACTCAGCTCTAATCCATCTGTAGGCCTGGCTCCAGCCCACTTCCTTATGCTCAGCCTCCCCACACAGGGATGGTGGACAATCAGCAGCGTGAGGGCAGCATGAGGCCATGAGTGGACCCTGTGAGGCGGGGGAGTTGAGCCCCACAAGTATGAGCTCTCTGCCCGTCACCTGATGGAGCCTGACGTAGGAGAGGCCTTTGCATTAAACCCTTGCCTGAGCCAGAAAAAACGTTCTCCAGGTCTTTCTGCTCCATGGCAAAGAGCGTACCCTCTCCCAGTCCACGTTGGAGAAGCTCAGAGAGTGAGAGAAGTGCTTTTCCTTTCGTTCCCGAGTTGGCCCTCTGGTAGCTGCCCCACACGGAATTCTCGCCCTGTCCCTCTGTGAGTGCACCTAAGCACCCGGCGGAGACCTGGGGGTGGTGCCTGGAACCCAGCGATGTTCCGGGAATGCTCCTTGGGGGATTACATGAGACGGGCAGAACCCACTTCTTCCTCTGAAGAATGGCCTCGGGCTCTTTTATCTGTGCTCTGCCATCACACCAACTTCAGAGGCGATGGAAGCCAGGCCTGACCATAGAAAGGGTTCGCCCAGAGTAAAGTAGAGCCTATCAGCAGCGAGGCAAAAGCCAGAATGCACTGGGGCTGGTTCTGTGGGTGCTGGAGCCCTGCTGCCTGCGCAGGCTCCTCTGCTCACCTCTTGCGGGCTGCCCTCCAGCTGCGGAGGAGCTGGCACAGGGCCCCGCACAAAGCTGCTGCTCCCTGTGCCCAGAGGCCTCTTCCAGAGGGCAGAGCTCAGGGCTGTGGGCTTCGGGTGGGAAGATGGCAGTAGGGTGGGAGGGACTGAGGGATGCAATAATCCCACACCCTCACCCAGCTTCAGAGAAACTGGTGCTGAGACGGTTGCCATGGTGACAACTGCTCCCTGGTCAGGAGATTTTTCTCTCTTCCCTCTCCTTCATTTGCTCTTCTCCAAGCAGCAGCCATAGAAGCAGCAGCTTCTCTCTCTCCTTGTTAATGAGAGGCAGGGGATGATAAACAAAGGATGACCACCTCTACCTTGGAGCTGTCCATGCATGTAGGCTGCTGGTCTAGGAGGGCCTCCTAACAGCAGAAAGGGGCCCAGGCCTTGTAGGCCTTGGTAAGAAGCAATGTCCCTCCTTCACTGAGAACTCACCCCTCCTGCTCAGGCCTCCTCTCTAAAACACCTCCATGGTTCAGGGAGAGAGAGAGAAGGTCCTGTTTGCTCCTAATCAGCCATAGAACCAGAGTGTGTCACTGTTGGGTGGCCATTCAAGATCATCTCATTCAGTCCACCCTCGGTCCTAACGCCTTCCCCACTTCACCAGGGTCAGCGAGGGAAGTGACTTGGCCAAAGTCAGACAGCCGTGAGTCAGACAAGATCTGAACCAGCTCTCCTGCCCTCCAGGCTCAGGCCACCTTAGGAAAAGGAGCGACAAGGTCCTCAAGGAGCTTTGGCACAGTCCCCGCAGAGCAGCAGGAAGACAGGACTCAGGGGGAGGCCAGGGAGGGTACAAACTGGACAGATATTTGAGAGGAAGACCGAGAGGACTTGGTGCTTCGGCTGTAAGGGGTGAGGGGAATGGAGGAGGCTGGGACCTCGGTTGCAGTGACTGATAGGTAGGTAGGGGTGGTCTGCTGGGGATTGGAGTTCCTGGTTCGCCTCCAACCAGAAGGAAAAGAGCAAACATGGGGCCTCCGCCTAGCCCTGAGGCCTTGGTGAGGAGGCACTGTTGAAAGTGCTGTGAAGAGAAAGGGGGCGGGAGTCTGGGTGTTTTGGGGAGGAGGGCTGAGCTGCTGGTGGGGCTGGGTGCTACGGATGGAGGTTATCCATGGAGGTGGGCGGTTGCCAGGGGACTGGGTGGACTACCTGTCTCCAAAGGAGGGAGGTTGACTGGTGCCAACAACACTGCACCGCAGGTGTGCGTGTGAGTGTTGGGGGCCAGAGCAGAGGTTGTTTTTACCTGAACTGGGGATGAGGAAGCAGCTCTGCCTCCTTTCCTGGGACCCATGGGGCCTGGACTTGGGGAGAGAGGTCCCCCCTCCCTCCAGACGCTGCCGCCTATGGCAGAACCTGCGGCCAGGGAAATGAATCAGAGAGGGCAGGAAACGAGATTGGGAGCGGAGAGTGGAGGGGGAGGGGACCAGGGCCTCCGCCCAGCCCCGCCCGCGTTACCTGAGGCCGCTCGCCGGGTCGCCGGGTGGCTCGGAGCCTCAGCTGGACTCGGGGATCGAGACTGGCTCGCGGGTGGGCGGCCGGGCTCCCCAGGATCCGCGCCGAAGCCGCCTCCCAGCTCTGGAATCACTGGTGCCTCCCGGAGGCGGCCCGATTTGCATAAGACCCGCCTCCCCCGGCGCGGAGCGGGCATGATTGGCTGCGCAGGGGCGGAGTGGCAGGCGCGGCTTCAGGTGGGGACCGGGCGGCCGGCGAGGCCCGGCGGCTGGAGCGCACGCTGCCCGTCCGCCCGCGCTGACCTTCCCGGGCGCCGCGAGGAGGGCGAGGGCTGTGCCCCATCCTCACCGCTCCCGAGGCTCAGACCCCGGGCCACAATCTGGGGTGAAAAGTGCGGATGATCGAAGCGGATTCGCAAAAACAAAAACAAACAAACAAAAAAAACCAACCGCACGGTTGCTATGGAAACGGGAGAGCACAGCGGAGTTCCTAAACCTTCCCTTCCTGGGGCCCCAGCGGGGGTGGGTGGAAGAGGGGGTGAGGCACAGTATGTGACCCCCTCCGTGGCCCACCCGGACCTGGAGGAGGGCGCCCCGGGCGGATGGGGAAGGGGAGAGGCAGATGGCGGTCAGCAGCTCACCATCACCCCTGCAGCACGCATCCCCTCCCGCGGTGGGACTGGACGGGGCGCGGTGGGCGCGGAGAACACAGTCCAAATGGCCAAGCACGTGGGCTCCCTAATCCCAAACCCTGCCCTGACAGCCTTCCTCATTCTCACGCATCCCTCCTGCACCAAAGGCCTCCCGGGAATCTTCCCCCAAAGGATCCCTCTTCATAGCCCAAAGACCCCCCTGCACCCCCACCCTCCCGTCTTGTCTTCCCGTCCCTGGGTCGGAGCCGGTCCCCAGCCGCCGCCAGGCTCCAGCCTCGGATGTTGACACAAGCCCAGGGCGGTTTACACTGAGCGGGTCTGGAAGGTTTCAAGGCTCCAGAAAACACCGCTTCCCAGCACTTGGGGTCCCCCCTAAGCCTGGCCGGGCCGCCCAACTGCACTGGCGGCTGAGAACTCCCCATCCAAGGCTGTGGGAAAGAACCCCTTTTTCCTAAATTGGGGCGGATGGGGAGCAGAGAGCCTCCAGCTGGGCCACGTGCGAGGAAGGGATTTCTAGGCATCAGTCACAGTGGGGCGAGGCGTCTGGGGTGGGTCCAATGGGAGCGGCTATAGAGTTGCAGGTGGGGCGGGAGGGGGACGATAGGGGGGTTGAAGAGCTGCAGGCTGAGAGTGGAGGGAAAGCTTTTCTGGCTGGCCCTGGAAACTCCCAGTTCAGGCTCACTTGGGGGCAACCAGTGGTGATACCTCTCTCTCTCTCTCTCTCTCTCTCTCTCTCTCTCTCTCTCTCTCTCTCTCTCTCTCTCTCTCTCCATTCCTCCTTGATCACGTTTTGCTGGCTGCAGGCTGTCTTTTCTCTGAGTCCTTGGCATCAACAGAGCCCTAGCTGGGGCTCCTGTTAGCAGGCACATTCCTGTTTGGTTGGGGACTCACAGGCACCGGTGAGCACCTCTCTACTCTGGGCTCTGGGGACCCTAGGGGTGGCCAGAACTCGCCCCTGCTCACAGACAGCCGTACCCCAAGGCCTAGGGAAGTGGGAGAGGCAGAGGGGATGCTGAAAGTGGCATCTGAAACTCCTTGGGTCCCATCTTTGCCAATGACCCACCACACAGACCATGGGCGAGATGCTTCTCTCTGTCTCTCTGGGCCTCCCAGTCTGTAAAATGTGGAAGCGGGCCCAGGGGTCCCCGAGGAGCAGAGAGAGAGTTCCAACTAGCAAGGCGGATTAGGACTGTCGCCCTAAACAGAATTATGTGGACGTGGATCTGAGTGTTCCACTACACTTGTGAGCTCCTTAACAATAACTAACATAACCGAGAGTGTCCTTTGTGTCAGGAGTTATCCTAACACTTTATACATATTACTTAATTGTTTTCCTCTTAAGGACTCTGTGAAGCAGGTACTATTATTACTCCCCTTAGACAGATGAGGAAATTGAGGCTCAGAGGAGTTAAGTGACTAGCCCAAGTTCACATAGCTAGTAAAGCTCATAGCTGGGATTTTTTTTTTTAATATTTGTTTTAATTGCCCTAACCGGTTTGGCTCGGTGGATAGAGCGTCGGCCTGTGGACCGAAGGGTCCCAGGTTTGATTCCGGTCAAGGGCATGTTCCTTGATTGTGGGCACATCCCCAGTAGGGGGTGTGCTGGAGGCAGCTCTTCGATGTTTCTTTCTCATTGAGGTTTCTAGATCTCTATTCCTCTCTGTAAAAAAAACAAACAAAATCAAAATATATATTATACATATATATTTTATATATACCATATATTTTTATTTTTTAAATATATTTTATTGATTTTTTTACAGAGAGGAAGGGAGAGGGATAGAAAGCTAGAAACATTGATTTGAGAGAAACACCAACCAGCTGCCTCTTGCACACCCCCTACTGGAGATATTCCTGCAACCAATGTACATGCCCTTGACTGGAATCAAACCTGGGACCCTTCAGTCCACAGACCGATGCTTTATCCCTGAGCCAAACCAGTTTCGGCTATTTTTATTATTTTTTAAATATATTTTATTGATTTTTTACAGAGAGGAAGGGAGAGGGATAGAGAGCTAGAAACGTCGATGAGAAACATTGACCAGCTGCCTCTTGCACACCCCCCACCGGGGATGTGCCCACAACTAATATACATGCCCTTGACCGGAATTGAATTGAACCCAGGACCTTTCAGTCTGCAGACCGACGCTCTGCCGCTGAGCCAAACCAGTTTTGGCTACTATATATATATATATTGATTTCAAAGAAGAAGGGAGGAGAGAGTGAAAGATCAATGATGAGAGAGAATCACTGATTGGCTGCGTCCTGCACGTCACCTACTGGGGACCTAGCCAACAATCTGGGCATGTGTCCTTGACCAGAATGGAACTCAGGATCCTTCAGTCTACAGGCTGACACTCTCTCCACGGAGCCAAACCAGCTAGGGCAGAGCTGGGACTGGAGCCCAAGTAGTCTGGCTCCAGAGCTTACAACCCTAGCCAGGACATATACTGCCTTCAAGTCCTTATGGGAAGGGACCTTGGCTTGGAATACTCGCTGATTCTCCAAGGCATTCGAAAGGCACAGTCCAGGCTCCTGGGAGCAGCTGCTCTGTCTCAGCCAACAAGGCATGGGATCCCAGCAGTGCAGTGGAGCTGGTAGCAGGGAACACAGGGAGACGCGCTCCTGACCTGGGTGCTAGTGTGTGGCTTCTCCTGTCAACCGCACCCTGGCCTTGGAATCTCACTTGGGACCCAGGACTCCCAGGTAAGCAGGGACAGCTGGTGATGCAGGATATATTGGTCCTACTCTTACTACTTATTTTTAAAAATATATATTTTATTTATTTATTTATTTATTTATTTATTTTATTTTTTTTAGAGAGAGAGAGAGTTAGAAACATCGATGAGAGAGAATCATTGATAAGCTGCTTCTTGCACACCCCCTACTGGGAATGTGCCTGCAACCAATGCACATGCCCTTGACCGGAATCGAACTGGGGACCTTTCAGTCCACAGGCCGATGCTCTATCCACTGAGCCAAACCGGTTTCAGCCTGCTCTGACTCTTAAACCAGGCAGGACCACCCATGGCCTGTGACTGTTTCTGAGCTGCCAGTTATAACTCACCTTCACCTGCTCATGATACCTGAGACCCCACTCCTGCCTCTGCTCTTTAGGTTTGATGTTTACTGCAATAACGGCTGACACTGACTGAGCTGCTTCACTATGTACCAGACTCTCTGCCAAGTCCTTTTTCTGCAGCAGCTCAGTCCCAGAGATGACCACTGCCAGGGGTGAAATTAAAAATATCTAACAGCCTTCTCCAGGCATGGCATTCCCGAATGCCTGGCCTTAGGGCTAGGTAAAGGACTTAGCATGCCTCTGATTTGCCAAGAGGTACATTTTGGTTATTGGATCAAGGGAAGCAGATAGGAGAAAAGCTAGGGAGATAGAGGGCCCATGGGCTACTAATAGCTGTTCACTAGTCGATTGGGAAGTATTTTGATGTTTTAGCAACCAGTTCAGCCGTTCCCGTGCCTGGGGCCCGATTTGCAGCCCTGGTATCATTACGTCATTTCCCAGCAGAGGATGGAGGCTCAGAGAGGTTAGAGAGCTTGTGCATAGCAACAGAGTTGGGATGCCAACCCGGCTCTGACTCTAAACCACTGACTGACCTATGATGCTGAGCAGAGGCAGTGTCCTAGGACAGAGCTTGGGTTTCCACTTTCCTGCAGCTAATGGCTGAGCCAGAGGAAAGAGGTTTGCGTTCTGGAGCTCTGCTGTGGCCTAGTTGTTCTCAGACTTGGAGCTCTGGCAACATCTGCCTCACACTGTGGAAGGAGCAGGCCCTGCAGAGTGAGGGCAGAGTAGGCTGCAGGAAAGAAGGAACAGCGTAGCCGTGTGGGTGGCCCTAAGCAGGTGCAGGAAGGGAATGGAGCCCAGTGGGGTTTTCTCTGAGGGCAGAGGTCTGCAGTCAGAGGCTCCTTCAATTTGCTCCAACAAAGTGCAAGCATTCCTTCTCTTGTTGGTCCCAAATTGTGTCTTGATGATGGATAATGCCTTCCTGACCCCCTCCCTGGGTTTCCTCAGCCATCGCTAGTGCAGTCTGGTGACAGCTGGAATTCCCCTGGTTCCTAGATATTTCACAGTCTTTTTGGAGTCTGTGAGAGAGGGAGATCACCAGTTTTGGGCTCCTTTTCTTTTTCTTATTGGCTAAGCAGGATTTAAAAAAATTTTTTCCCCCAGAATATAAATCTCTCTATTATCTGTAGAGAGCCACCTAAGAAGGCACATGGACATTCTTTTAATTCTTATCAGCTGAGCCCGAGGGCACTGGCAGAATCCTGTTGTCAGTACTGATTTCTTATCTTTATCCATGTGCTTGGATGGAGGAACAAATAGGACCTTGACTTACCCAGGTCTTTTTTTTTTTTTTTAATAAATTTTTATTGTTCATATTATTACAAATGTTCCTTCCCCCCCCCCTCCATTGCTCTCCTCCACCAGGATCCCACCCCACCTTCTGCCCCTTTCCCCACCCCCCACTGTCCTCATCCATAGGTGCACAGTTTATGTTCAGTCTCTTCCCACATCCCTCTCTCCCCTTTTCCCCAAGAATCATCAGTTCACTCCCCTTCCATACCTCTGATTCTATTATATTCAACAGTTAATATTGTTCATCAGATTTTTTTAAATTTCCTTGGTTTTTAGATTCACTTGTTAATAGTTACGTATTTGTTGTTCATAATTTTTATCTTTATTTACTTTCTCTTCTGAAAGAACCCTCTTCAGCAATTCATATAATTCTGGTTTGGTGGTGATGAACTACTTTAGCTTTTTTTTTATTAGGGAAGCTCTTATCTGACCTTCGATTCTGAGTGATAGCTTTGCTAGGTAGATTATCTTTGGCTGTAGGTTCTTACTATTCATCACCTTGAATATTTCTTGCCATTCCCGTCTGGCCTGCATGGTTTCTGTTGAGAAATCAGCTGACAATCGTATAGGTGCTCCTATACAATAACTCAAATGCAGTAGAAGTCTACATATAGGTAACTACCTTCTTTGCTCTTGCTGCTTTTGATATTCTCTCTTTGTCTTTTGCTCTTGGAATTTTAATTATGATTTGTCTTGGTGTGGTCCTCTTTGGATTCCTTTTGTTTGGAGTTCTGTGCGCTTCCTGGACTTGTAAGTCTAATTCTTTCACCAGGTGGGGGAAGTTTTCTGTCACTATTTCTTTCAGTTTGTTTTTGATATTTTGCTCTCTCTCATCTTCTGGGACCCCCATAATTCTGATGTTGGTTCGCTTGAAGTTGTCCCAGAGGTTTCTTACATTGTCTTCAATTTTCTGGATTCTCTTGTCTTCTTGCTTCTGCAGAGGAGTGTCTTCTGGCTCTTTATGTTCCAAATCTTTGACTTGATTCTTGCGATCTTCCATTCTGTTTTTTAGGACTCTGTATAATATTTTTTATTTCAGACAATGTATTCTTTATTTCTTATTGATCCCTTTTCATATCCTCATAGGTCTTATCAATCTTTTCTAGGAAATTCTTGAAAAACCTTATAAGCATAGATTTGAACTCTATATCCAGTTGCTTTTTGTCCTCCATTTCTTTCGTTTGTGATCTATTTCATTGTCTTGGCATTTTCACAGCTTCCCTGTTTCAGGGTGGAACCTACAGCCTTGGCTTCGGTCAGCCCCGCCCTATGTGGTTCCTGAGTCTCAGTAATCCCCAGGGTCCTTCAGTACTCATTGCAAGCAGCTCTGAGAGAAAGGTGCCCTCGATTTTCGCCTACCAAACAGTCTAGGCTCTCCCCCAATGAGCCTGGAACTGGGGTTCAGTTCAGTTGGAAGTGGAGTTGGAGATGGTGTTCAGAGCAGTCTGGAGCCCCTGTCTCCTTCCCTCCATGGCAATCCTGTGGCACAGCCATCCGTCCCTTCTCTGAGCGTAATGTGCCCACCTCTGGGACCTCCTTTTGCCGCTCCCCTGGGGTTCCGCCTTAAAGCCCAGCTCCCTATGGATGAGCCTGGGTCTCCGGGGTCTGGCCTAGAACTGGGGTTCAGAGCAGTGGGAACTGGGGCCCAGCATGGTTGGAGCTTTTATCTCCTTTCCACTAGGGAATGCCAGCTGGGCACTCAGCCACCCCGCCCCGCCTCTCCGGCTCCGTCCTCTCCGCGCGCCGCGTGTCTCCGTACCTTAGGCTTTTCCAGCTCCTCCGCACCTCCTTCTGGTTTTCTCCTTGCTTCTCATTGTAGAATTTCCAGTCAGTTGACTTTCCTGTAGTTCTGGGTAATGTCCATTTTATATTTCAGTTGTATTTTATTGAAATTGTTGTGCACTGCTGCGGCTAGGTGTTTACCTGTGCAGCCATCTTGGATTCTCCCAACTTACCCAAGTCTTGATGTGATAAATCTCGTCCTTGTACCAAAAAATGAGGAACTTACCCAGGTCTTGATGAATAGGACCTGGGCACACCCAAAACTCCTTTTGACCTTAAACTTCCCCTTTGGAAATCAATAAATGTGCTGTTGTCTGTGGTGGGTGAGACTGCCTTTCCATCAGAGAGGTAGCGCCCACCTAGCGCCCAGCTTGATGAATCTATTTCTGCCTCTTGTCTCTTTCTTTCTCCAATTTCTTAATCCCCAGCTCCTCCACTCAGGAACCTGTCGTTTTCCGTGAGGGATGCGAAAAACAGAGAAAATGCCCACCACAATTATCTTTTTTGTTTGATTGTTTGGTTGGTCAATATATGGTGGCTAAAAAGAAAAATTATAGAGTAGAAGTTCCCCAGAATTCCTCCCTTGAGCATCACCTGCAGAGGACCTGTGCCTTTATCTGCCCTGCCTTCTGCTACTGCTGCTGAAGCCTAGCATGTAGCAGGGTCAGTGCACAGACTCTGGAGCCAGGCTGCCTGGCTTTGCATCCAGCAACAGGCAGGTTACTTTACCTCTCCGTGTCTCAATTTCATCCTGTGCAAAATAAGGAGGATAGTGTGTGTTTTAATATTTTTATTGATTTCAGAGAGGAAGGCAGAGGGGAGAGAAATAGAAACATCAATGAGAAATAGAAACAGAGAGAATCATTGACCGGCTGCCTCCTGCACACCCCTCACTGGGGATCTTACTCACATGTGCCCTGAATGGGAGTCAAACTGTGACCTCCTGGTCCATCGGTCATGCTCAGCTACTGAGCTACACCAGCTGGGCTCCAAACGCTACTTTGAACTCTATTATCTATCTATCTGTCTATCTAACATCTATCTAGTTATATACACCCACATTACATATATGTATATAAAAAAAAAGATCAATCTAGTATATATCCAAGTGCACAGATTTTCAAGTTAGACAGCCATGGACAAGTTCGTTAACATCTTACCAATTCCGTTTCCTAGTTGGTCAATGGGAATAATAAAAATAATTACTTGTTATGTGAGGATTCAATGAGGATAAAGTGCTTAGCAGGGTGCCTAGCACAAGTAGCACTGTTTTCACAAAAATATTGTATATGTCATGATTAAGGCGCTCTGATAGCTGGGGCAAAAGCTAAGCTGCTGTAACAAATAGATACAAACATACAATAACTCAAATGCAGTAGAAGTCTATTTCTTGTTTATGTATTTCCAAGCCGGTGTCAGGTTGATGGATGGCTCTCCTTCTTACCAGGACTTGGGACTGAGGCTCTTTCTACCTTGTGGTTCTGTCATTCCCTAGGGGCTCCAGCCAGTGACAAGGAATTGAGTGGAAGAAGCTGTAAGTGGCTCACACCACTTCCTTTCACACACCAGGGAAAACAAAACTCATTCTAGTATTTCAAAGGAGGAATTTAATATGAGAGATGAAACACAAAGCTGGTAAAAGGACTAAAAAAACAAAACACAGGGAGGTTACCCAGATATTTCTCATTATTGGAGGAAGCCTCTACCACCCCAAGGTTGGAGGGGCCAAAGGGACAAGGATACAGCCAGAGCCCATGCTCATTGCATTGCTAAATCCATGGGAGCACCTGCTGCCTCCACGAGAACCACCACCTCTGCTGCCCCCAGGAAGCCAGGAGCTCCCACTCTTGCTCCAGTCTGGAAGCCTGAAGTCACGTGGGCCTGTTGTTGTCACCGCCAGCGCCGGAGTTCATGACTGCCATGCTGCTGAGGTTGCTATAGTAACTGCCATGGCTCCTACTCTGGGAGAGTACTGCTTGGGCAGGAACCCAGGAGCCTGCACTCACCCATTGTTTCTGCTTTTCCCACTTCTGGAAAAAAGGGGAAAAGGCTTCTCCCTCTGCCTCCCAAAGTCCCACCCGTGCCTCTCATTGGCAAAACCTATTGGGAGGCCCATGGACAAAGAAATCTGAGAAAAGCTTCCAGCCCCTTGCTATACAGAGGACAGCATGACAGGATGAGAATAGAGCTGAGAATGTAGAGGGCCACCTGAGAAGGCACATGGACATTCTTTAAATTGTTAGCTGAGCCCGAGGCACTGGCAGAGTACCTTTGTCCAGGTGTCAGCAGGGGCCGGTCTAGATATGTAAATCCAGTAATGTTAGGGCCTAGTTAAGTATGCAAATAAGCTCCTTTGACCTTATAAATAAACCTGCATGGCCTGGGGGGTCGCCTTGCTGCCTCTCCATCAGAGAGATGGGGCCCACCTAGCTCCCAGCTTGATGAATCTATTTCTGCCTCCATGTCTTTTTTTTTCTTTCTCTAATTTCTTAATCCCCAGCTCCTCCACTCAGGAACCTGTCATTTTCCGTGATGGACACGAAAAACAGAGAAACAGCCCCCCGCAGGAGAACAAGCAGGTAAGTGACTGGCACTGTAAACTCAGAGCGCTGAAGATTGTAGTTTCAGCCACCTTTCTGCAGTGTTTGCTGAAAAAGGCTCAAATTCAGAACTAGCTCAATCTCTGCTCACCCACTAGGTTTCTATAAAGAGGATGGAGACAGGAAAAACACCATGACTGAAGAAGGAGACGCATTATCCTTGCCCCTCATTTCCTCTGGGTGTATTCCAGTGGTTCCCTTCCCAGAAGCTCTCCCCCAGGAATTAGCTCGTTACATTTTGAGGGATCCCCAGGAAGGGGAGTCTGACTCCTATTTCCCAGTTTGATCTCAGCTGACCCACGAGGTATGCTGATCTGCTTTGGGGCTGCAATAGCAGGGGTTGCACAGGGTAGGAAAAAGCATTGGGTAGAGAAGATGTGGTGGCAATGCCAACGAGAGAGAGGGTAAAGATTGTGCCCTTGAGTGGTCAATGCCTGAGAGCTGCAGGAGACAGATCCTACAGTTCAGCACTGACCAACAGCGCTTTTTGCAGTGATTGACATGTACTATATCCAGGCTATTCCACAGGATAGCTACTATCGCTTGTACAATAGATATTGAGCACTTGAAATGTGGCTAGTGTGCACAAAGAACTGAATTTTACATTTTCATCCATTTTCATTTAGAAATCACCCATAAGTTGTGCTTATTAGACTGGACAGCACAGGTATAGACCCTGAAGTTGGGGGTAAAGAGGCCAGAGAAGATCAGGAGCTGTAGGCTGGCTGGGACCACCAAAAAGGAGCATAGCATGTGGCCACATGGAAGCTGTTTCCTAATCCCTAGAAAACATTCTAGTTTCTGGCCTAGACGAGAGAGAGGGAGATGGGGCTGAGTGATCTGGGCTGGGTGTGCAGCCTCACTCACCCCCTGATTTGCAGATAGAGCTGGCTGCGTTGGGCCATCTGGTCCTAATGAGCGGGCTGGAGACCATGGTTCCAGAGCGGGAAGGCAGACGTAGCCTGGGGCCAGGGAAGGGTGCAGCTCAAAGTGCTCTGGAGACCATCACACTATCTCAAAACTGGGAGCTCTGGGGCGTCCACTAGGACTCTGCATGTTGTGTACATTAAAGTTGGAGGATTACTGACTTGTCCATCTTATTTAAGTTCAGGGAACCTGGAGGCCAAAAAGGGAGAAGTAAAAGCAGGGTCGTGGGTGCACTTGGGTGAGGAGCCTTGGGTGGGAAAGAAAGGGTCCCCAGAAAAGTACCCACTTCCGGCTGTACTATCAACACCGCAGGCTGTCAGGTACCGCACGGTGACTATAGGTAATAGTACTGTATTCACATTTGAAAGTGTCTAAAAGAGTAGCCGAAGCCGGTTTGGCTCAGTGGTAGAGCGTCGGTCTGCGGACTGAAAGGTCTCAGGTTTGATTCCGGTCAAGGGCATGTACATTGGTTGCGGGCACATCCCCGGTAGGGGTTGTGCAAGAAGCAGCTGGTCTATGTTTCTCTCTCATCGACATTTCTAGCTCTCTATCTCTCTCCCTTCCTCTCTGTAAAAAAAATCAATAAAATATATATTTTTTTAAAGAAAGTGTCTAAAAGAATAAATTTTAGCCCTCGCCAGTCTGGCTCAGTGGACAGAGTGTTGGCCTGCGGACCGAAAGGTCCCAGGTTTGGGCACGTGCCTGGGCTGCAGGCTCCTCCCCAGCCTGGCCCTGGCCAGGGCTCATGCAGGAGGCAACCAATAGATGTATCTTTCTGTCTTTCCCTCTCCCTTCCACTCACCCTAAAAATCACTGGGAAAATATCCTCAGGTGAGGATTAACCAAAATAAAAAATAATGAAATTTAAGAGTTCTTATCACAAGAAAAAAAAATTCTCTAACTATGTGTGGTCATTTTGTAATGTGTATAAATATTGACTCATGTTGTACAGCTGAAAATAATAGAATGCTGAATATCATTTATACCTCAATTAATACACATATAAATGGATTTTTAAAAAGAGGAAGGACCCCAGAATGAGGACACAGGGTTTGGCTGCCTAAGGAAAATTTTGTTGTTGTTGTTTTATTTTTTATTTTTATTTTTTATTGTTTGAAGCATTACAAATAGGAAAATGTGTGGGGCTTTTTTTTTTTTCTGTTTAAAAGAACAAACAAAACACTTCTACAACTTGAATTCTGAGAGGGAAATTTGCAGGTAGGGAAAGACCTCTCACTAGATCACCCGACTGGTCCCACCTTCCACCCCCAGGCACGGCAGTAAACAGGCCTGCTAACCGGGTGGGCATGCACCGTTAGGATGGGGACGCTTGATAAAATATTGACATGCCGGGTGTACTAGTAGACAAATGGCACGTAGCAACTGCAATCAATAGCACAATTAATTGTTTGGAAATGTAATTTAAACTCATCAGTTCCCTGGATGCCGTTGTGAACATTGATACATGGGCCTCCTGAAATAGCCTCTCCGAAGAGCACAGAGGACACGGTCTGCCTCTTCCCCCGTCTCTGCAGACGGCACACCCTGCGCTGCTCATTCTTCATGAAGCACACTTTGCTTAGAGGAATCATCAGTTTATCTTTATCCACTTAGTAGGTGCCTCTAAATAGTGTACCCTTTAGCTGTAACTGGTTTGGTTCAGTGGATAGATGGTCAGCCTGCGAACTCAAGGGTCCCAGGTTTGATTCCAGTCAAGGGCATGTACCGTGGTGGCAGGCACCTACCAGTAAGGAGTGTGCAGGAGGCAGCTGATTGATGTTTCTAGCTCTCTATTCCTCTCTCTTCCTCTCTGTAAAAAAATCAATAAAATATATATATTTTAAAAATAGTGTACCCATTGGTGTGTTAGAATATTTGTATAAGTAGTAAATGGGCAGGGTTTTGCTTTCATAAAATATCCAGAACTTAAAGATGAATACTCAAGATAAAGAGACAATGGTGTTGGGATAGTGTTTCTTTTAAATATCAGAGATGAAAACCTCCCGAATCTGGGAGAGACATTTAAAAATATATTAATAGCTGAAACCAGTTTGGCTCAGTGGTAGAGCCAAACTGGTTTGACATATACCTTGGTTGCAGGCACATCCTCGGTAGGGGATGTGCAAGAGGCAGCTGTTCGATGTTTTTCTCTCATCGACGATGTTTCTAGCTCTCTATCTCTCTCCCTTCCTCTCTGTAAAAAATCAATAAAATACCATATATTTTTTTTAAAAAATAAAAATATATTAATAATTGAAGGTGCTTAACTTGTGTGGCACTTGTACCACTCAGATTGGCAATTATGTCCTGTTAAAGTTCATGGTATAATATATAGCAGTTAGGGTTGGATCAGACAAGCATAAACACTATGAATAATATAGAAAAAAGGAATTATCAAGGGATTAGAATTTATGTAATTGTAGGGATTCTTTCAGGGCATAGCAGAGGCAGCTTATCTCTGTTCCTTGATGTCTGGGCTTCACCTGGGAAAATTTGACAGTTGAGGGCTAATGTCTTCTGGAGACTTCTTCATATATATATATATATATATATATATATATATATATATTTTTTTTTTTTTTTTACAGAGAGGAAGGGAGAGAGATAGAGAGCTAGAAACATCGATGAGAGAGAGACATCAACTAGCTGCCTCCTACACATCCCCTACCGGGGATGTGCCCGCAACCAATGTACATGCCCTTGACCAGAATCGAACCCGGGACCCTTCAGTCCGCAGGCCGATGCTCTATCCACTCTGCCAAACCGGTTTCGGCATTCTGGAGACTTCTTTACACACATGTCAGGTGCTTAATGCTGGTGTTGGTGGGGACCTCAGCTGGGGCTCTTGAGGTATGGACAACAGAATGTGATTGGACCTCCTCCAGCCTGGCCATACCAAACTCCCATGCATGATCATGCATGATTCGTTCTCTTCTCCATGTGTCAGCGAATGCAGAGGACTTCATGGACCTAGAGGAAGGCACACGGTAAGGTGGAAGATGTCTGGGTCTGTGAATGGCTGCATAGAGCAAAGTCCTCACCAACCTGCATCAGACTGGGACATGAATGAGAAATAACTTTTATTAAGGTAAGCCAGCCATTTGCATTTTTTGAATTGTTTGCTACAGCAGCTCATGTTAATTGTCCTGAGCAATAACCATTTCCGGTCGTTATTGAAGTTACAAATGACTAGAGATAGTTACCTGGTAAGATCTGGAGTTGCAAACGTCATAACTGTTTCATAAGCCCTTTTTTAAAAAAATATGTATATTTTTTATTGATTTTTCTTACAGAGAGGGAGAGAGATAGAGAGCTAGAAATGTCAATGAGAGAGAAACATCAACCAGCTGCCTCTTGCACACTCCTACTGGGGATGTGCCCGCAACCAATGTACATGCCCTTGGCTGGAATCAAACCCGGGACCTTTCAGTCCGCAGACCGATGCTCTACCACTGAGCCAAACCAGTTTCAGCCATAAGCTCTTTTTATGGTTACGATGTCAAGGGTTGGTCTTGTAGCTCATATCGCCTACAGTGTGTAGGATGGACTTTTTTTCCCCCCCCCCAAGCCAAACTGTATCCAGCTTTATTAAAGATACTTTTCATAAGCAATCATGGTATTTCAGGCAGGTCATAGGCAGACACTTTCACACTCCCCTCTTCAATGAACTGCCAAAATCAGAAAGCCACTATACAACCCAATGAAGTCTTCATCAGATGCTCTGAACAGGGAACATGTAGAGTGAGGGTTGACGTTTCACATTGAGCATGCTGTTGAACAACTTTTCACAAGCCAACCCTGACTTTCAGGAAATGAATGAAAATGGCAGAGAATATCCATTGGTAGATCCACTACCTAAAAAGGAACTGCTGCTCTTTTGAAGGATGCATGCCATCTCCGTGGTGACACTGGAAAGTCCAGATTGTCCAACATACTGGAAATCAATTTTTTGGGGGGCCAGGTCCCAATAGGTCTCTGGGCTTAAGACAGCCAAAGTCTATGCTTAAAGTGGAGAGGGAGAAAAGGCCATAAAAAGGAATTTTAGTTTTTCCCACAAGACAAGGTGTTTGTGCCAAGATGGCTAATGTGTGTCAACACCAAGAGATCCCTCCTCCCAGGAACCAAGAGGAAGTTTCTCACAACTAGAAGGGAAAGGTATTTCCGCCCCCCCCCCCCCCCCTTTATGTCAGTCCAGCTTTGGAGACATTCTATTAGCACTATATGTCCTTCCCCCAAAAAATAACAATGAGCCGAAACCGGTTTGGCTCAGTGGATAGAGCGTCGGCCTGCAGACTGAGGGGTCCCAGGTTCGATTCTGGTCAAGGGCATGTACATTGGTTGCGGGCACAGCCCCAGTTGGGGGAAGGGGGGTGCAAGAGGCAGCTGGTCGATGTTTCTAACTCTCTGCCACTCTACCTTCCTTTCTGTGAAAAATCAATAAAATATATTTTTAAAAAAATAAATAACAATGAAGTGTTTTGTGGGCTAACAACATAGCCAAATAAATAAATAAATAAATAAAAATAAAATTCTGCATTTTTATAGAACTTGATAAATAATAGTATTTCAAACTGTACAGTCACCAGAAGTACACAGTTATCAAAAATGCACACGCTTCACTCGGCATTTCCAGCACTTTCGGCTTTCTGTCCTGGGCATCTCCATTTTCTGCAGGGTTACTCCCGTCTTTGCCAGCATCAGCTTTCCCCCTTTTCCCTTTTGGTACCTTCTCTCCCTCCTTTGCAGGGGCCTTTCTAGGCTTGGGCTCTGGCTTTGGAGGAGCGGGTTTAGCTGATACCCTGGCGTATCTTCTCTGTGGTTTGTCCTTCACCTAGGCTTTATCTCCTGTGCCATCCCGGTCAGCCTCTGTCTTGGGCACGATGGCGATAGAGGCGGGCGGGGAGGCAGCAGCACGGGCTTTGCTGTGTGCGGAGGGTGGATCTCGTCTCCTCTCAGTGCTCTGGATGGACTTTTGATGATCTCATATGTCCTTCTTGACCAGTGGTCATAACTCACGAGGTCATTTTATTGACATTTTGTGAGAAAAAAAGAACTTCATTGTCTTTCTATCACCAAGTTTACAAACCACTCATGTCTGTCTGAATCTCTCCTGCCCCCATGAAAATAGAGAAGTGTTCATCTCCCACCTAAAGGCAGCTTCCTGCAAGCCCTGCACTGGGGATCAAGCCTGCAACCTGGGCATGTGCCCTTGACTGGAATTGAACTTGGGACACTTCAGTCCGCAGGCCAATGCTCTATCCACTGAGCCAAACTGGCTAGGGTGCAGGTTGACTTTAGAAGCACATTTAACGACTTTGCTATAATTCATTCATGGAAAAGAAATTAGGGAGGAGGAGGATGAGGATGAGGAGGAGGAGGAGGAGGAGGAGGAGGAGGGAGGCTGAGAAAATAGTGTTTTAAGATCTAGGTTAAAATCCCAGATTTGCCTTATGCTACTTACAGCTACCATGAACTAAGCAAGTTTCACGTGAACTATGACTCAGTTTCATCATCTGTGAAACGTGAAAGTAATACATATCTAAATGGGCACTCATTTGATATACTTTAGGTTATGGTTTTTAAAATAGCATGTCTATTTATGATCCAAGATTGCCCCCCAGAGGTAAAATAAATTAAATACAATATCTCCCAAAGCCTTTTTCTTAAACTGTCCAGCCAAAAACTCAGTATTTGGAAAATCAAATGGCCTGGTAACAACTGATCTTTAGTGTCTCTGATGTCTTTGAATCATAAGATCAGGCTTCCTCAAAGGGAACCAGGAAGGCGTGGCCCAGTTGGTCATTACAGGGCCAAATGGCACCAATGAATTGATTCCTGGGAAAGACAAGTTTCTCACCACCACCAATAACAACACACACACACACACACACACACACACACACACACACACACCCCAGGAAGCCCAAATAGCTTTATAACTAAATTCTCTGCATTTAAAAATATATATATATTATTGATTTTTTTACAGAGAGGGAGATAGAGAGTTAAAAACATCAATGAGAGAGAAACATTGATCAGCTGCCTCTTGCACACCTTCTACTGGGGATATGCCTGCAATCAAGGTACATGCCCTTGACTGGAATCGAACCTGGGACCTTTCAGTCTGCAGGCCGACACTCTATCCACTGAGCCAAACTGTTCAGGACAGTTCTCCACATTTTAAGAAAACAAATTATCCCCTATATTATGCAAACTCCTTCAAATGACAGGGGGGGGGGGGGTGGAGGAAAAGCTGATCAGTTCATTTTATTAGGCTAACATAGGTTCACAGTCCCTTTTCTTAAGCATTTTGGGGGGTTTGGGAGTTTAGAAAGATCGTGCTGTGTGTAGCACCCCCTCCCCAGCACAGCTCGGACCAGCCTCCACAATCAAACACGTTCATATTTCTGCAGCAAAACATACTAAGTGGGATAAATAAAAACTGGGGATAACTTCATATCAGTTTAGATGATGTTTTGCTTCCAAATGAGTTTGCTCAATACATATCTCTCCATCCCCAGAAAACCCTATTGCTAGTTGTCAGCGCCTTCTAAAATTTGGGAATCACAGATAAGGATTGTGGGCCTATTAACCAATGCCAAACCAATCTCGGATGCTGAAATGAGAAAACAAAATTTACCTCAAAACTCGTGAGAATATTTGCAAAAAGCCTAACCTAAAAATACCAGCACACAGAATCCAGCAGTGTATGAAAATTACGTCCTGGCCACCGGAACAGAAGGTGCAATGCCACAGCTGTGATTACGGATTCCAGTTGGCAATCAGACCCAGGAGACGCAAATGATTTAAGGAGATAAGGCAGATGCTGTATTTTCATCTCACTGGGAGGCCTAGCAGCTACTCAAGTAGACAAGCTCTTTTGTCACTCAACACCTATGTACAGCGACCAAAGGAGAAAGCATAGGTGTTGGGGGGAGAGGGGGTTGGGGAGGGACAGAGTCACCTTGACTCAAAAGCTTTGGCCTCTATTTCCCACCAATATTTTATGTGATTCCGGTTGTGTAGGCCCACAGCCTATGGACCCCTTGACAACTCCTCTAAACGCATGCGCACAACAAAGGAGCCACACACAACATCCCCATTTATCTTCACTCTGCAGTTTCCAAAGAAGCAGTATTGTGGAAGACCAAGGTCAGTGTCAGGCAGGCATGCATCAACCAGGCCTGAAATTAATTTTCCCTGGGCTCACAGAAGGAAACTTTAACATTCATCTATCACTGTGATTTGCCAATTAATTGGTAAAGGAGAAAAATCATATGATCCTTTCAAAAAGCAGAAGTACAAAATGAAAGAAGGGTCATAATAACTCTCTCCCTTCCTCTCTGTAAAAATCAATAAAATATATATATTTTTAAAAAGAATTAGAAAGAAACAACAGTGTCTGTATTTGCAGGTTATATTACTGTCAATTTGGAAAAATCCAAGAAAATCTAGAGAAAAACTATTTGGACTAATAGACTTTGGCAGAGCCAGTAGGTACAAGGTCAACATACAAAAATCAACAGATTACTGTATGAAGAAATAAGAAACTAGAATATACCATTCTTAGTGTCAATTAAAACTATAAGATATCTAGGGATAGAGCTTATAAAAGATGTGCTAGACCTTACGAAGGAAAATACAAAATATTTTTAAAATATAAAAAGAATATTAAAGAATAAATGAAGAGATATAACATGTATATACATGGGAATACTCACTGTCAAAGAGATGTCACTTCTTGACCATCCAGTATGGCTCAGTGTTTGAGCACTGACTTATGAACAGGAAGTCATGGTTTGATTCCTGGTCTGGACACATGCTCCAGGTTGTGGTCTCAATCCCCAATAGGGGGCATGCAGGAGGCAGCCGATCAATGATTCTCATTATTGATGTTTCTATCTCACTTTCACTCTCACTCTCCCTTTCTCTCTGAAATAAATAAAAATATATTTAAAACCTCACTGCAGAAGAAAAGATAACTTGGAAAAGAAAAAATTACCTACAAAAGAAAAATCACTGTTTAAATGCAGGAATCTGTAGTAACAGAAGGGTTAAATACAAATTGTGCCCAAACTGAGTTTGAAGGAGCACAAACCATTCTGAACCAACAAGAACTTCTTCTCTAAATATTTGTATGTAGCTGAGTCTAAGTTTGTGGGGGACTGACTGCATAAATAAAGTCCAAAATTAGCTTTTATAGAGAATACAATATTTATAAAGGCTAAGTGATAAAAATCTGCTAATTTGAGCCATATTCAAGAGTAGTCACAGGACTTATTTCAACTTAGACAGTTGAAAGTTTTTTCCAGGAAGGGTTTTTTGTAGTTCCTATTGTTCAGAGTTGCCTGGACATGATGATGATGATGATGATGATGATGATGATGATGATATAACATGATCGATTTTTTAGTTGTCTTATTATTGCTTGGAAAAATTTTTATAGACAACACACCTCTTTATTGTTTGTACCCATAATAGATTGCTTATACAGCCCTGATCTTTTTTTTTTTTTTAGATTTAAAAATTTTTTTAATTGATTTCAAAAAGGAAGGGAGAGATAAAAATACCGATGACGAGAGAGAATCATTGATTGACTGCTTCCTGCACTTCCCCCTACTTGCAATCGAGCTGGCAACCCAGGCATGTGCCCTGGCAGGGAATTGAACCATGACCTCCTGGTTTATGGGTTGATGCTCAACCACTGAGCAACATGGTCCTGGCTGTACTGATATGTCATCACTTTTCTGGGGAAAAGTGGTACTCAAAGTGTGCCTCCCCAGCCAGCAGGCTGTGTCACTTGTTCCCAGTCCCACCCGGACCTACTAAATCAGCAACTCTGGGAGTGGAGGCCAGAAATCTATGTTTTAATAAGCCCACCAGGTGATTCTGATGCCTGCTCAAGTTCAGAGCCACTGAATGAGAATCTGGAACCTGCCATAGCTCGGGCTGGAGTCTAGGTCACTGGTGGATCCAGAGCTATGATAAGATGAGAGGGAAAGGCAGGAAACGTGACCACAGGCTCTAGGTTCTGGCAGACCCGGCATCAGTTTCTCCTGCCACCAGTGAAGAAAAGTGTCCCTGGCCAGCAGAGAGAATGTCTTACCTTCTACCTGTTGTCCTGGGCCCGCCCTCTTGTTCCAGAAACCCCGCCCCTTGTTCATTCGACCAATGAGTCTCCAGGGTTCAACCGCTGAATCAAAGGGAGGAGGCCTCCTGG